TCACAGAGCCCGCCCGCGCGCAAAACACCCCGCACCCGCTCTCCGCGCAGCACCAACCCTCGCGCGCCTCGGCGCCGCGCCCGCCGCCGAGCGTCACGACGGCGTACCTTGCCGCGCCGGGCCCGCCGCACGGGCACGGGCACGGGCACCCGGGCTCGGGCGCGGGCACGGGCGCGGGGCAGGGGCAGGGGAGGAGGGAGGGCGCTGTGGGTGCGGGTGCGGGAGGGGCGACGGGCGCGTACGGCGCGGCAGGAGGGGGAGGGGGCAGGAGGAACGGCGCACCGCCGCTCGCGCTGCCGATGCGCCCGAGCCAGGGCCCCCCGAGCCACGGCCACGGCCAGGGCGGCGGGGCGTTCAACCCGGCCTTCCACGGCGGCATGAGCGGCGGCATGACTGGCGCCGGCGGCGTGTTCATCCCGGCGTTCGGCGTCGGCGCGGGCGCGGGCATGGGCATGGTCGGAGGAGGAGGAGGAGGAGGAGGGGTCCCGGGCCCGGGCGCGCCGCCGTTCGACATGGGCGCGTTCGCCGGCATGGGCATGGGCATGCCGGGCATGTTCGGCATGGGTGGCATGGGCATGGGCGGCATGGGCATGGGCGGCGGGTTCGACATGGGCGGGTTCGGCGGCGGTGCGGGCGCGGGCGGGATGGGCGTCTTTGGGGCGCCTGGCGGCATGGGGATGGGAGTGGGGGTGGACCTCGGCTACGGGATGGGGACGGGCTTGGGCTTGGGAGGACCCGGTATGGGAGGAGGAGGAGGAGGAGGAGGGGCGGGAGCGTTCGACGGCGGGGCGAAGAAGCGCAGCCGGACGGACGGCTGAGCGGCTCGGGCGCCTGTGTCTTCTTCCCGGTCGAGGTCGAGGGTTGCGTCGCTTGGAGGTGGCCGTCGAGGTCGAGGTCGAGGTTGTACCCCCCTGCCTGTTGTGCACTGTCATCCCCCACGCTTTGTCCCCCTCCTCCTCCTCTCCTTCCTGTCGTCGTCGCACTCGCTCCCCTCTCTCTCTCTCTCTCTTTTTGCGCCGTCGCATCTTGTGCCTCTCTCTCTCTCACGCACACTCTGTCGCATTCTCGTCGCATTCTCGCATGCGCCTCGCTGCACCGCATTCGCGTTTCCCCCGGTCGTCGGCGAGGCGGCCTTCGCAAGTTGGGCCAGGTGGGTCCGCTCTCCTCGCGGTGTCCAGTCCTTTGCTCTTGCTCGAGAGGTGTCAGCACTGCAACGCCAGAGGACTGCTCGGCTGCAAGCTCAAAAGCGCGAGAGAGCGAGGGCTCGACGAGAGCGCTCGCACCCCGTGCGACTTGGCCACCTCGCGCCGGAACCGCCAAGCCGCCTCTTTCCCTCCTCCCTCTCACTCTCCTCGCCTCGACTCGCCGCACACCTCTCGCCGAGCACCACCATGTCGAGTGAGTCGCCTCTCTCTCTGTCTCTCTCTTTGCGCGCCTCATGCGCCCTGCAAGCGCACTGCGCGTCCCCGGCGCCGGCTCGGTCCTCTCCCTCCCTCTCTCCGCCCCTCGCTGACCCCTCTTCTCCCCACGCCCGCGCAGACGCCCAGTCCTTCACTTTCTCCGCCGCCGACGACGGCGACAACGACCGTCCGGCCCTCTTCCCCGTCATCGACCCCTCGCGCCCCGTGCCGCTCCTCGGGCCCATCGGCGTCATGACTTCGGACTTGCGCTTCGCCAAGACACACCTGTCGCCGGAGGAGCAGCGTGCGAGGTGGCTTGCGGAGCAGAAGGCGGGGCAGGGGGGTGCGGCGGGCGGCGAGGGCGAGGGCCAAGGCGCGGGCGAGGAGGAGGGCAAGGCTGGTGCGTCGCGCTCTTTCTCTCTCTCTCTCTCTCTCTCTCTCTCTGGGCCTCTCGACCTGCGCACTGACGCAGGAGGGGACTCTGCGAACGCCCGACCGCCCGCAGAACGCGCCGCCCACCTTCTTGCAGCCGACCCAGCCAACCCGAAGTCGCCGTTCGTCGCCAACACCGCCGCCGGCGGCGGCGTCCCGCTCGCGAGCGTCCTCTCGACCGAGGAGCAGCACGTCCAGTGGCGCGACGAGCAGGAGAAAGAGAGCGTCGGGCAGGGCGAGGGCGAGGCCGAGCAGGCGGGCGGCGCGGCCTGAGCGGCCGATGAGGACTCGCTTTTCCCTCTCCCTTCCTCTCTCTCTCGTCCTCGCTTGAGTGCAACGCGCTTGTTCCGTGCTATGAGCGACGACGAGCGAGAGAGAGCGAGCGGCGCCTGACGAGAGGAGAGGCATTTGGTCGCTCGAGCCTCCCCAAGTTCGCGCTTCCCTCGCCTCTTTCCCTCCGCTCCTCTCTCGTCGCCCCTCGCCTCGCCCTCGACACCTCTCCAGCCATGTCCAGTGAGTCTCCTCGCCCCTACCGCACGCCTCGCCCGCTCCACGAGCAGCCCGAGAGCGAACGAGCCGTCCTCGCCTTCGCCGCGCGGCGGCCCTCGAGCCCACCTCCCTGCGCTGCGAGGACGATCCTCGACTGACTGCCGCGTCTCACATGTACGCAGACGAGCCCGCTAGCACCGACCCCGCCGCCGCCCCGACCAAGGTCGAGCACGCGACTTCCAACCCCACCTCGTCGAGCGCGAGCGGCACGGCGAGCTCGAGCGACGCGGCGGCGGTCCGCAGCGAGGCGAGGCGGCCGAGCAGGAGGAGAGCGGTGGCGATGAGGACGCTTCGAGCGCGCAGGACGACGGTGCGCCCCTCCTTTCACCTCCCCTCTGTCCCTCTCAGCGCACCCTGACCCGGCCCTTTCCCCTCGCACAGACAGCGACAAGCCCGTCGCCTCCTACCCGCTCGTCAACGCGCAGGGCCGCAGCCTATTCGGCTTGTACTCGTCGTTGGGCGTATTCCTCGCTTCCTACACGACCCAGGAGCACATAGCGCGCATGCGCGCCATGCGCGACGAGGCGGCAAAGAAGGGCTTTGAGCAGAAGCTCAAGCAGGACAAGGAGGCGCAGGCCGAGGCGGCGAGGGAGTGAGCGGGCGAGCGTGCAGCAGAGCGAGCTTGAGAAGGCGAGGCGAGGCTTGAGCGGCGTGGGAAACGCCGAGCTTTTTTCTGTGCAACGAGATCGTGATGCCTCTCTGCAGCAGCGAGAGCCTCTGCGACACGGCGCAAGAGAGAGAGAAAGAGAGAGCGACATGCGAGAGTTGCAAAATCAAGGCGAGACGAAGAGCTACGTGGGGAGCACACAACAGGTACGGCATACTGCGACATCGACTCAAGGAGAGAGAGAGAGAGAAAGAAAGAGGGGTCCGACTAAGACGGTCCGGCCGACGACGGCGCCGCTCGGACCCGGCCCCGCCGGATCGGGTGGGTGAACGGCATGAGCGGCACGCTCGTGGCGAGCCAGGCGCGCGGCACGGTGCGCAACGGGTGCGGGTGCGGGTGCGGGCGACGCTTGTGCTCGGGCTCGTCCTCGGCGGGCGCTGCCGAGCGCTTGGCCGGGACGACCGACGACGACGACGAGGCGCTCGGGCGACGGCCTGGGCACAGGGTCAGGCTGCGACGACCTGGGCAGGCAGCACCATCGCACGAGGGACACGTCGACGCCTTGGGCTTGCTGCGAGGCTTCTTGGTGGTCGCGATGGTCGGAGCGGCGGCGGGAGCGACCGGCGCAGTTGGCGCGACCGCCTCGACGCCGGGTCCTGCGGCTGGGACAGCGACCGGCGCAGGCGCGGGGGCTGAGGCCGACGGGCTCGACGTGGAGCTGTCAATCGGGAGCAGGGCCTTTGCGGCTGAGCCGACCGCGTCGACTGCCGCGCGGGCGACCGCCGACAAGGTCGAGGCGACCGACGACGCGACCGACTTGGTGGCGGGCGACGGCTGCTCGTCGGCCGCTGTTGTCGGCGTCGACTCGACGGGAGGGGCTGCCGAGACATTGGCGGCAAGCTGGGCGAGAGGGACGTAGGGCGACGAGTCCTCGACAGGAGCCGGCGGCGGCGAGTCGTGCTTCTCGGGCGACGGCGCGCGCTCCTGCGCCGGGGCGAGATTGCTCGCCGGCGCCGTCTCGCGCGCGACCGTGCTCATGGCCGGCGTCTCGATCGACATGCCGAGCGCGGTCGCCGGCTCCTGCGGCTGCCCGCTCGCCTCGAGAGGACCTGCGCGACTCGCGCCTTCCGCCTTGGCCGGCCCAGCTGCGCCGCCGCCCTCGCGTCCCGCACCGACAGGCTTAAGCGTGATGGGCACGAGTGGCGGCGAGGCGACGGCGAGGGCCGGCCCGCCGGTCCCGGCGCCGCCGCCGACGCGCGGCGAGGCCCTCGCGCTCGAGCCGGCGAGGACCGCCTCGTTGCGGAGCGCCGGGCTCGTCAGGCGTGCCGTCGCGACGGCGAGCGCGACCGGGTCGGCGCCGCGCAGCTCGTTGGCCTTGCCGCGGAACATCTGGCGCATCGACGGCGGGACGGTCGCGTACAGCTGCGCGAGCGGGTGGATGCCCGGCCCGCTCACCGACGGGCGACGGCGCATGGCGCCTTGCGAGTCGGAGCGCTGGCGAGAGCCGGGCACGACTGGAGCTGAGAGCGCGCCGGGGAGGGTCGGGCGAGGAGGGAGGGATGCGCTCGTCGACGCAGGCGCGGCGGTGGACGGGGCGGCGGCGGATGCAGCGTCCGTGGTCGAGGGCGTGCTGTCGTCGGTCGAGTGTGCGGCTGGTGCAGTAGGGGGAGCGGCGACCGATGCAGAAGGTGTCGCCGCGCTCGGCGCGCTCGTGTCGGCGACGGGTGCGAGCGCAGAGACGCGAGGGATGGCGGAAGGCGACTTGGCGGGGGCGTGTTCGACCTTCTGCGGCGACGTCTGAAAGGAAAGGGGTCAGTAAAGCTCGAGGCAAGAGCGAGAGAGAGAGAAAGAGAGAAAGAGAGAAAGAGAGAGAGTGAGGCGCACCTGCTTGTCCTCGACTGTGACCGGGGGACCCTCGCCGCCCTGACCGACCACCTCGCTCGCGCCAACGCCGTCGACGTCCATCGGCCCCGCCGTTCCCGTGCCCGTCGCACCCTCGTCGTCCGAGTCGGCGAGCTCGAGCACCTCGGGCACCTTCTTGGCGCCCTCGGCCGCCTCGCGCGCCCTGCGCGCCTTCTTCTCCCTGTGCCGCGCCTTCTTGACGCGCTTGCGCATGCGCCTCGCCTCGGCCGGCTCGACGACGTCCGGCAGCGGCGCCATGAAGCTCTTGACGAGCGAGTCGTGCATCATGGTCGCGAGGACGCGCTTGCGGGCGCGCTCGAGCGCGTCGGCGTCGGCGAGTTGGAGCGGGGCGGCGAGCGCCGACAGGTGCGGCGCCGTGGTGGCCACGAGGCGGTCGACGTGCAGCGACAGGTCGGTGGCGTACTTCCACGTCTTGGCGGCGAGCTGCGGCGTGAGCTCGTCGAGCGCGGCCGGGTACACGGTGAACGGCGGCGCCGAGAGGTGGACCGTCGTCGACAGGTCGGCCGGGAACGACTGGGGCGAGGCCGCGAGCGTCGGGACGAACGGCGCCGGTGGCCACATGAGCGGCTTGAGCGCGTTGAGCGGGTCGCGCGAGATCGACGACGGGGCGTTGCGCGTGCCCAGCGCCGGCGCCGACTTGGTCGGCCCGGGCACGTAGTCGCCGTACGGCGCGCCGGCGACAGACATGATGAGCCCGGGCGAGACGACCGTCGGCGCGCCGCTCGTCCACGGGCTCGCTCGGATGCTCGCGAGCGTCGCGTCCGTGTCGCCGAGCGACACGTCGAGCTCGGCCTCGCGCGCCGCCTTGGCCTGCGCAGCGAGAGCCGCCGCCGCTGCGGCTTGAGCGCACTTGGCGAGCGAGCGCTCGGCATGCGCCGCCGCCGCCCAGAACTGGACCTCGTCGCCGACCTCGACGCCGTTGTCCTGCTGCTCCTGCGCATAGCGCATGATGGCGGGCACCTGGCTCTCGGGAGCGGCCATGTGCTGCGTCGGGTGCACGACCGGCGGCGGAGCAAGACCCTGTACCGCCCGAAGAGCAAGGGCCTGCTCTGGCGGGCCGACGGCGGTCGGCGGCGGCGGCGGTGTGCCGACCTGCTCTGGTTGCGGAGCGACAGCATGCCGCGGTGGATGAACGGCGTCCTGCGACGGGGCGAGAGGCGCCGTCGCGGTCGCCGTCGGGGCCGGGACCGAGTCGAGCGGCGGCGGTGGGCCTGGCGGTCCTTGTCCCGGCCGCTGCCCGCTCATGCTGACCCAGCGCAGGCCCTTGGTCGGCGCCGGTGCGGTGCGGCCGGGCGGGGCGGGCGGAGCTGGCAGGGTCGGGTGCGGCGCGCTCGAGGTCGAGGTCGAGGCGGACGTCGGCGGGTACGGCGCCGGCGGTGCGGACGGGGTGGACGTGCTCGGGGCAGGAGCGGGGAGCTTGGGGGCGTCGGGCTGGGACGAGGTGGCGGTGGAAGACGGGGCAGGTCGCAATGAAGAGGGAGAGGGCGCCGGCGGCAGGGTCGGGGGCTGCGGGTCGAGCTTGAGGCCGGACGGCTCCAGGACGGGCGGACCCTGCGCGCCTGCGCGAGGGCTGTCGGCGTGCGGCTCGGATGGCGGCGGGGGCAGAGGAGCAGTCGACGGCACCGCCGCGACCGACGGCGAGACGACGCTCGGGTCCCCCTGCGCCGTCTCCTGCCCCCTCGCCCGCTCAACCTCCTTCTCCCCGCCCGCCTGCTGCCCCGCCCCGTCAGCCTTGCCCGCCCTTCCCCTGCCCCTCGCCCGCCGCGCCGCGCTCGTGCTCGCGCCCTTGCCCTTCCGCTCCTCGACCTTGTCCAGCTCCGCCCTGCCCGCGCCCGTCAGCCGGGCGATCAGCGCCACCCGGTCCGGGTTGCGCGCCTCGGCGGCCTGCAGCTGCGCGACCCACGAGTCGACCGTCGCCAAGGCCGCCGTGCGCCGGTTCGGGCTCGTGCCGCTCGGCGGCGGGGCGGCGGCGGCGGGGCTCGCGGCAGCGGCAAAGTGCGGCGGCGGGAGCGGGACGGCGACGGCGATGGGTGCGGGTGCGGGCGCGGGTGTGGTCGAGCTCGGCGGAGGAGGAGGAGGAGCGGGAGCGGCAGCGGCGACAGGCGCCGGAGCTGCACCCGGTCCGAGCGCTCGCTGCGCCGTCGGCGCCGCGCCGCCGCTGCCGCCGCTCACCGGCACCGTCGCGCTCTGCGGCGCGCTGCTCGTCTGCGCGTGGAGCGGACCCGGCGCGGCGAGCCTGCCGGCGCCTGCGCCGCCGCTGTGCGGTCGCGGGCACGACGACGCCGAGGCCGAGGCCGACGACGACGCCGACGACGGGCGCTCGGCGAGTGCCGGGCGAGCGGGAGGCGGGTACAGCACGGGCGGCTGCGGCTGCGGCTGCGGGCGCGGGTGCGGGTGCGGGTGCGGCGCGAGCTGGGCATGCGGCGAGGCCTGCAGCAGCGAGCGCCAGTGCGCGTGGGCCTGGGCCTGCGCCTGCGGGCTGGACCACGCGCGACGCATCGTGTCGCTGTGCGGCTGCTCGACGGCTGGGGCGGCGGCGGCGGCGTGCGGGTGGCCGGGCGCTCGCCGCCGCTGCTGCTGCTGCTGCTGCTGCGCGTGGTGGTGGTGCTGCTGCTGCTGCGTTGACGCGGCTGCGCCCTGGCCCTGCCACGACGGCGCTCGCGACACCGGCGGCGCGGCGAGCTGGGGCGACACGGCCGGGCTCGGCGCAGCGGCGTTGGCGGCGTTGGCGGCGGCGGGGCGCGTCAAGTCCTGGATGGCGCGCCACTCGCCGAGCGCCCAGCTCGACTGCTCGACGTACGCGGCCCAGTTGGCCCACTCGGCGTCGGTCCACGGGCGCGCGAGCGTGAACCGCTCGCGTGGGTACCGGGGTGCAAAGTTGGCGAAAGCGGGCGCCGACACGCGGCGGTACAGGTCGAGGATGTCGGCCGTGCGGTGGCGGTCTGCGGCCGTCTTGAGGAGTGCGTGCGACGTGTCGGCGAGGCACAGGGCGACGAACGAGCCGACGATGGGGAACGTCGGGAGCTCGTGCTGGACGACCCAGGCTTGCCACAGGGCGAACGCCTTGAGGTAGTGGCCCGGCGCGCAACCCGACAGCGGGATCATGTCGGGCGCGAGCTGCGTGAGCGACTCGGCGTCGGTCGGGAGGTACGCCGCCTGGAGCGCCGGGTGGATCACGTTCCACAGCGCGGCCTCGATGCCTGTGTGTGCGCGGCGCGCGCCACCGTCAGTTCGAGGTCGCGAGCGCTGGGCCCGTCGATAAAGAGAGAGAGCGTGAGACGCACTGAATCCACCAGCCGCAGACGCCCCACGCAACCACTCGATCGCCTGGTCCCGCCGCGCCGGCAGCTCCCCCATCGTCAAGCTGCGCGGGTCCGACGCCGCCGCCTGGGGCGGCCTCCTCGGTCCTCCCGCCCCTCCTCCTTGCACCGGGCCGGGTGCGCCCGCCTGCCGCTGCGCCGGCGCCGGCGCCCTCGCGCTCGCCTGCACGCACGCGGCCGCTGCGGCGGCTGGGTCGTGTCGCGCCTGCAGCTGGGCAAGGAGCGCCGCCTGCTGCTGCTGCTGGTACAGCTGGAGCTGGAGCTGGGCCTGATACTGCTGCTGCTGCTGCTGCTGCTGCTGCTGCTGGCGGTGCAGCTGGACGACGGCGGCCGAGGGCGGCTGGCCGTGGGGCGAGGTGCGCGGCGCTGGCGGGGCTTGGGGCGGCGGTGGCGGTGGTGGTGCTGCTGAGGCTGGGGCTGGTGGACCTTGTGGGGGTGGCACAGGAGGTTGAGGAGGAGGAGGAGGAGGAGGAAGTGGACCGGCGCGCAACTCGCCGCCGCCCGTCGACGTGCGCTGTCGCGGCGCCGCTACCGCCTGGGCATGCTGCTGCTGCGGATGTGGGTGCTGCTGCTGGTGGTGAGGGTGCTGCTGGTGGTGGTGCGCCGGGCCGGGCTGCATGCGCCGCCGCAAACTGGGTGGGGGTGGTCCAGGAGCAAAAGCTGGCGGCCTCGCGCGCGCGGGCGAGCGGGGCGGGCGAGGAGCGCGGTCGAGTGCGCGAGGGGAGCGCGGGCGGTTCGGTGCGGTTTGCTGAGGGTGAGGGCGACGTGAGCGAGTTGAGCGAGAGCGCGGCCGTCGGGCTCGCGCTCGGCTCGAGGTCAAACTGCAAAACAGCTTGCGTGCTCTCTTGCTCAAGCCGTGGAGACGTTTGCAGTACTGTCACAAACGGATCTGATTGCATCGTGCTGCACTCGGGTGGCGTCGTCCTCTCGCGAAAGAAAGCTCCTCGTCTGTCTGCACCGCCGGCCGACGACGACTGCGCGCGACGACAGCTCGAGGCTCGCGCCACGTGCTGGACTCGTCGCAGATCGTCGCGGCGAGGCGACTGGTCGGTCGTGGCGGACGAGGGTCGCCGTCGAGCGGGAAGCGCCGCTCGTCGGCAAGGCTGGTGGAGGAGGCGGTCGGCGAGGAAGCGTCGGCGGCGCCGTGCAGGCTCATCGCAGATGGTCGGCGTGAGACGGGAGGTGACGGGTGCAGGCATGGCGGAGGAGGTGCCCGGCCGCTGGGCGGGAGCGAGTCGAGGTGGATCGTCGACGAGGTTGGTCGAGGACGGGGTGCGAGAGGTGATGCGGCTGCCGACGATGCGCCGCCGCTCGCTGAGCTCGACGTACCCGGCCTCGTGGCCACCGCACGCTGGCCGGACCCACACCCCGTCGCCTCGCCCTCGCCCCTGCGCGCCTGCTCAGCGGTACCTATCTCGCTCGACCCTCCCGAGCCACACCCCTCCCGCCGCCCTCCCTGCCTCCTCCCACGCCCTCCTCAGCCCGCCATCGACCCCCCTCGCGACCCTCACCGCCGCGTCCCTCTCCCTGTCGGCCTCTCGGCGCTCAAACGCGCGCCTCGCCGCGCCCGGGTCGCGCGGGTCCCACGAGACGGGGCGCGCGAGGTGCGCGAGGCGGGCCGTGTTGCGGGTGTGCGGGATCGCGAGGGGCGAGTGGTGGTAGAAGAGGGAGGCGAGGTTGGAGGTGAGGCGCGGCGAGGAGCGGAGGAGGGTGAGGGTGCGGGTTGCTGTGGGGGGCAGGGTGAGCAGGTCGAGGGCGCGAGAGGGCGGGAGGGGGGCAAGGCGCACTTTGAGCTTGGAGGTCGCTGTGGGTCGCACCAGGTTCTGCGAGAGCTTGGCGGAGCTGAGGACGCAACAGGCGGCGCAGGTTGGCGAGTCGAGGTCGGTCGAGGTAGGCGAGGCGGCCGAGGGAGCGCCACAGGAGGCGGTACAGCGAGCGGGTGGTGGTGGCGGTGGCCGTGGAGGTGCTCATGGCGGTGCTCGCTGTAGCACTGGTGCGAGCAGTCAGACGAGAGGGACGCGTGAATCCTCATCAGCTCGCCGCTCCTCTTGACCCTCGACGTCCTCGACTCTCAACCTCACCCGCTCGCCTGCCCGCCATGGCACAGCCTACCACCACGGGCAGTCCTCTACGAGTCCCCACCGCCACCGCGCCAAACCCCGTCGACGACCTCGCCGCCCTCGCGCACCTCTCCCTCAACACGCACCCCGCCTCGACCTCGCACCCTCTACTACCCGCACCTGCCTCTCTGCCGCCCCTCCCACCGCTCCCAGCATCTTCCCCTTCCCCCACACACACACACACACACACACACACACACACACACACACACACACACAAAAACACACACACACACAAATACACTTGGACATTCATGCTCA